AGACTTCAGATATGGGGATAAACAATAAATTTATTAACACTAACAGTACAAACATAAACGCAGTGCAATACTAAAACATAATACAGGTGCAAACAAACCCAACCAAACCACCCACAGATAACAGTATATACAAGCAAGCGTCGTCAGGCAGGCCGGGTCAATATCAATTGGGCAGGTAATGGTACAGGGGGAGCAAGCGAGAATGGTCGGGGTCCACTTGGGCCAGGTTCAGCAGGTAGCAAGCAGCATAGTACAGAGGGTCAGGCAGAGGAATGATGGTCCGGGTCACAAGCCAGGGGATTTTTTTTTTTTCACAGGTAGCAAGCAGCGTAGGTACAGAGGGTCAGACAGAGGGGATGGTCAGGGTCACAAGCCAGGATCAGAGCAGGAGAAGTCAGCAAAGAACAGAAACAGATGCAGGACAGATACAGGGCCCAGGACAAACACAAACAACCAAGGCAGAGTCTGTGGGTCTGGCGCTATCCTTTAAATAAGCCAGCATCCTCAGTTTACAGGTGTTTAGCTGGCTGCAGAGCTTGAGTCTATGATTGCGGGGACCACACCGCTTGGCGCAGGCCCTGGTACTGCAGTATCAAAAGGCAGGTGAGTCCCACCATTGCTGCCCAGTCCATTCCTAACACACTGATACAGTGATCGTAAAAATTGGTTTACACTGATCAGTGCCTACCTGTTGACAGGGCAGTGAAGGGGTTTTAAATGGGGGTGCGATCAAAGGGGTTAAAATAAACGGGATTACTGGTGTACTGGCGGCAAACTGGGCTATCTGGGAGGGGCGCTAACACTATCGGAGAAGTCGCCCAGTGACACTGATACAGTGATCAGTAAAAATCGCTTCCACTGATCATTGACACTGGGTGACTGGGCCAGCTGAAGGGGTTTAACAGGGGGGGGGTTCGATTTCAGGGGGTTAAATGTGACCTAGGTTTGTTTCTAACTGATAGTGTATGTGATTTGTTAATCACTTTTACAGTTTCTTCTTTCTTTGTCTGTAAAGGAATTGTGTCCAGCAGAGAAGGAATGACTATCAATATCTGTCCTGTTTAAATGTCAACACAGGACAGGATCGGATCAGGGACCGTGTCAGGGAATCACGGGCCAGAAAAAAAAAAAATAAATTCCAGCATCACGCGCGCGCGTCCCCCCCGCGAATGCCGCACTGGGCCGGGAGGCGCGCTGACAGGCCCTCATCGCATGCGCAGTAGCGAGTCGAAGGGGCGCGCCTCAGGCCGTCAATGACAGCCGGGGGCGCTTTCCAGCCAGCCAATGTACATTGCAGGGCGCACTATTTAAAGATTGCCCTGGCACTGTCACCCATTTGCCGAAAGGTCTGAAGTGATCCTGGATACCTGCTCCTGTTCTGTGACCCTGTTTTTCCCGACCCTGACTAACGCCTGTGCCCTGCCCCTGTGTTTGACCGGCTTGTCCTGACTACTCTGCCTGCCCCTGTGTTTGACCCGTCCCCCCCGCTTGTCCTGACTACTGCTGGCTTGCTCCTGCGTTTTGACTCGATATCCTGACTATTCTACGGACTGATTTACCTGGCTGACCCTGCAAATGTGACCTGACTACTCCCTGAGCCCGCTGATTTGGTTACCCCCGCTTACCCCCCACTGCAACACCACTATCCGTGCCACCCTGCTGGGGCCAGCATCCGCCTCATATCTGCTCTCTCACGGTACCTACACGCCATCTCCAGAGGCCTTCCCAGCCGCTGGTGGGCCCGCCCAGAGGATCGTGACCTGGCCCCGGGACAGTTTCAAGTCCATCCCCCACCAATTCAGGGCCCTGTGTGAAGGCACAGCCCGGGCTTAGACCCCCACGCTCTGGGTTGGGTCTATCAGTTGGCAGCCGGAAGGGTGCGCCAGGCGGATCAATCAACAGTAAAAAACCCTTTTTTTTTGCGGCCATGACAGAGCCAGGAGGTTGGACCGGGCGTCCCTAGAGGATATTTGGCCAGCACCTGGCAACTTTTGACCCAGGCCTTCCCAGAACTTCCACAGTCGCTGCGCCCGACCTGGGAAAGAGCGCATGGAGACATTAGCCCCTCCAGACTCCCGCCTGCTCAGAGTCCCCCGTCTGTGGAAACCTCCCGCTACCCGACATCCGGAGCGGTTGTGCCAACACCCTTAAGCTTCCTGACCCCGCGTTCCCCTGCCGTAAACGGTTTCCGTGGTTGACCGGAGCCGCTTCCGAGCCTTCTCCGGAATGCTTGCATCACTATATTTTGACTGTGCACAGCCCCGCACGTTCTCCTCCGGATACCGTCAGGGTGGGGTTTATAGTCTCTCTCCTTAGGATGAGCCCAGGATTGGGCTAACGTTGATGGGGAGGGTAGACCCAGTTGACTCCGTGACCAGTTTTTCAGGCAGGCCCGTATTTGTATGACGCCCCTCAGGGGTTTGCCTCCGAGGGCCCCCCCCATATTCTGCGGAAAGGGGCCGCCGGGCACCCGAAGAATACGGGGCCCCGATTTTAGGGGATGCGGGGAAACCCCAGATGGAAGGGATGGGCTTATGTAAGTTCCGCATGGGTTTTGGTCTTAAGGACGAACTAGAACGAGTGGGGCCTAAGACCCCTGGAAAGATTGATTGATTTGGGCCCATCCGATTGAGTGGTTAAGGGAACGTCGGGGAAAGGAGCACCCAGGGTAAAAAGGGTGGCATGGATCCCCCGAGGAGAAAAAAGCCCCAAAACCCCGGGGGAAAACCCCCCGAGGCAGGAATCGGGGGAAAACCGGGAAACCCCCATGAGGGGAGGGGCCCTTTTCCCATTGTCGGGTGGGGAAAATTTTAAAAGGGAACGATCGCTGAACCTATGCCGGTATGGGGGAAAGGGGGTCCCCAGGTGCGCCCCTGTTGCAAAGATGGTAAGTGCTTTTTTTTTTTTCCTTAGCAGGAAGGGAGACCCAGCCCCAATTAGGGCCCATCCCTTTTGTTTTGAGCCCCCGGGAAAGAAACTTCGGGTGCCGCAATCATTGACTTGGACTTTTAGTTGTTTGTCGATGACTTTTCCCCACGGAAAAAAATACCACTGCGGGGCCCAAAGAAAGGGGGTTAAACATTTTTTTGGAGACGGCCCCATTTAAAAAAAAAGGGGGTGGGGGGGACAGGAGACCCCACCCATTTTTACCACAAATAGCAGACCTCACCAGGAGTTCTTTTTGGATGCCATGCTTCCCCCTATTTGTCTTTTTGGGGGGCCCCCTTGGCTGGGGGCCCCATAACCCCCGGGTTTAAATGGGAAAGGGGGAGTTTTCAATTTAGGTCCCCCTACTTTTTTTGAATCATGCCGGGGTCAGGGCCCTTTGGGCCCCGGTTCCCCCGGTGCTTGGGGTGTTTGCCAATCTACCCAAACCCTTTTTCCCCCGGGCCTTTCCCCCATGACTTTTTGGACGTTTTAAAGGAAAGGAGGGGCGGGTTTTTCCCCCACCCGTTCTTACGTTTGTTATGACCCCCAAAGGTATGAGATCTCGTTGGGGCCGGATTTTTCCCCTTGTCAAAAAGGAATGGGGTTTGTTATGAGGGAATATTTTGGAGAACCGGGAAAAGGGGTTTATTTTTCCTTTTCCACTCCCCCCCGGGGCCCGGGCTGTTTTTTCGTAGAGAAGAAGGAAAAATCGTTAGGCCCCTGTGGGATAGTAAATCAAAAACAAGATAACGGTAAAGAAGGGTTATTTCCCGTTAGCCCCGGCTCCCAGAGTTAAATCGGGCAATGATATTCACAAAAACTAGCCCTGGGGGGGGGCCTATAACTTGTCCGTATCGGGGGAGGGGGTGAGGGGGAAGAGGGCCCTTCCCGCCCGTGTTTTGGGTTTCACTACGAATATCTAGTGATGCCTTTTGGGTTGTAATGCCCCGGGGAAACCCTTCCAGTTTCATAACCCGATTTTTTTCGTGATTTCCTGATGTCTTTGTTAGTAGTTTTTTTGGGAAATTGAATCCAAATTTTTTCCCCCCTTCATGGAGGTTATCAAAGGGTAAGTGGGTACGGGTTTTAAAAAGGGGTTGCGTTACCCGGGCTATACCCCAAAAGGGGCGGGAAAATTGCTGTTTCGAACAGAGCGAAATCACGTTTTTGGGAAATGGTTCTCTTTTCCCGGGGGGGGGTCGGTTGGATCCCCAGAAAGTTTCCCGGGGTTCCTTTGATTGGCCAAAAACCCCCCGCAAAAAGGGGGGGGTTTCAGTTTTTTCATCGGGTTTTTAATTTTTATAAAAAAAGTTTGTTTTGGAACTTCTGGGTTTTTGGGCTCCCCGATCAGCAATGACGAAACAAAAGGGGGCCCTTTTTAAATGGGGCTTCCCAAGCCCGACGGCATTGAGAAGCTCAAAAAATTAAACAGTCTGCGCCCATCCTCTGCCTTCCCGGTTCTTCCCCCCATTTGTTTGGAAGTGGATGCTTGAGAACGGGGGGGTTTTGGGGGCGGTTTTGTTAAAAAAATGGAACCAAGGAATACTGAACCCCCTGGCGTTTTTCTCCCGGAAGTTTTCGCCGGTGAAAAGTAAATTTGACATTGGAGATGGGGCTCTGGCCATAAATCCCCTCTAGAAGAAAGGAGGTATTCTGGGAAAGGGGCCACACACCCCCTCCCAGTCTTCAAGATCACAAGAACCTGGAATATTTAAAAAAGCAAAAAAGATGAGACCTCCCCCAGGCAAGGGGGCTTTTTCTTTTTCCCCGATTCCCCTCCATTTTTACGTACCACCCCGGGGGGGGTATAAGAACACAAAACCAGACGCTTGTCCCCCAGGGTTTTAGGACCCGGGGGACCCCCAAATGGCACCCGACACCATCTTTCCTTCCCGGGAATTTTCCCTTTTCTACAAAAAAAGAACTTCGTTCCGGGCTCCCCGACGCTTCTACAGGGGCTACCAGTTCGTGGGGGGCCCCCTCCCGAACCAAGGCGGGTGTTTTTTGGGAAAGGGAAAACCCGGGTCAAAGGTCCCAGAAGAGGTTTTCGAACCCCGGTTCCTTGGGCACTGCCACGACCATCGAAAAGGGGAGGTCCCTTTGGGGGGTTTTCGGAAAATTTTGGGAAAATAAAACGGCGGGTGTTCTGGTGGCGAATGAATAAGGACTGCGAGGTTTTTGTCCAGAACCCGTCCCCCTGTCAAAGGAACAAGCCCCCCAGGAGCCGGGCATGGGGATTGTTTTGCCCTTACCAAAAACCCAAAGCGGGGCCTGGCAAAAAAGATTGCATGGGCTTTTTGGTCGAAACTCCCCCCAACCCAAGGTCACCCGCAAAATGGTTTGGCGGGGGACGCTTCTAAAAAATGGGCACATTTTAACCCCCGGAGAAAAAAATCGGCACCTGAAAAAGGCACGGGGTCTTCATTAAGGAAGTGGCAGGCTTTATGGGGTCCCCCAAAAATATAGGTTCAGATCGGGGAGTCCAATTCACCCCAGGGTTTGGGAATCCTTTTTTGTAAAGCATTTTGGGGAAACAAAATGTCGTTTCTCCCCCTTTTACCACCCCCAAAAACCAACGGCCAAACCCAGGGGGGTTCCAACCAAAAGCTGGAACAATTCCCGCGTGGGGTTTCATGTCCCACCTTCAGGAGATGGTTGACGTTGTTGCCGTCCGCCGAATTCCCCTCCAAAAATGAGTCATCGCAAAAGGGGCAATCCCCCTTCTTTGCCAATTAGGGTTTATCCCAATTTCTCCCCCGACCTGATGCCTGAAAAACCCGGGGACCCGGATCTCAGGACGTTTTTTAAACTTTCTCTGTCAAAACAAGGGGCATTCAGGAAAACCCTCGCCAAAACCCAAAAGGGGGGGAGTTAAAAAGGGCGTTCGGGAAAAAAAAGAAGAGGAGAATTATGTTTTAAACCCGGGGATGGGTATGGCTTTTCAACGACCAAAATTGAAGATGCTGACCTTCGAGGAAGCTTTTGGGGGCCCAAATAATTGGCCCCCTTTCCGGTAAAGCGTGTAGTCAACAAAAGGGGTACGAGCTTGGCTTCCGCAGACCTTAGGGTAATCCCGTGTTCCATGGGTCTTCCTGAAAACATCCAGACCGGATCCCTTTCCCCGGGCCCTGAGTCCAGGAAACCCCCCGAGGCAAACTGTAGATGACCCGGAGGATTCGAAAAGGGGGGCTATCCTCAGTTTGGGCGGGGGGGGGGAACCAGCCCCCGTTCCCGATAAAAAAAAAGGGTTAGGCCCTTTAGGGAAATCATGGGAAACCCCCCCCAGAACTTTTACCCCCCCCGGCTATCGGGAAAAATTTTTTTGTGGACCCCCCGCGGTTGGGAGAGATCAGTGGGGGGTCCCGGAGGGTTTCCCCTTGGGGGGGGGGGGAGTGGTTTAGGGAACCGGGCCGGAATCCTGTTTACGGGGGCCGTTTCCCCCCCGGGATGCGGCCCCCTGGCGGCGAGCGCGGTGACAGGAGGACGCGGCATGCGCAGTAGAGTGTCGAGGGGCGCCTAGGGTCCAATATGGTAGGGGGGGCGGTCCCAGCAAGCAATGACAGTGCAAGGCGCACTATTTAAAGATGCTGGCACTGTCACCCATAGCCGCCAAGGTCTTCATGTGATCCTAAGGATACCTTGCTTCCTTGTTCTGTGACCCAGTTTTCGACCACTGACTAACTGAGCCTGTCCCTGTGTAATGACCGGCTTGTCCTGACTACTCGCCTGCCCCTGTGTTTGACCACCTGCTTGTCCTTGACTACTCTGCCTGCTCCTACCGCTATTTGAACTCGGATATCCTGACTATTCTAACGGACTGATTTCTACCTGGCTGACCCTGCATGTGACCTGACTACTCCTTGCCCGCTGATTTGGTTCCCGCTTACCCCCCACGGAACCACTATCCGTGCCACCCTGCTGGGGGGCCGTCATCCGCCTCATTATCTGGCTCTCCCGGTACCTAACATGCATCCCCGGAGGCCTTCCCAGCCGCTGGTGGGCCCGCCCAGAGGTCGTGACCTGGCCCAGGGACTGTTTCAAGTCCATCCCCACCATCAGGGGCCCTGGTGAAGGCACACGAGCCCGGGCTTAGACCCCACGCCTCCTGGGTTGGTCTATCAGTTGGCAGCCGGAGAGACTCCAGCCTGGCGGATCATAACAGACCGATCATCAGATTTCAGCCCAGACATCACGTTGGCTGAAATCTAGTGATTGATCCCTCGGGATCGAATGGTGTCACCCGCCGGGTCGGGGGAGCGCGCGCGCGCCCCCTGCCGGCGAGAACGGCGGCGGGAGCGCGGAACCCGTTTTAAAACATGGTTTTGCGCCTGAGTGCCGCCCTGCACACGTATATATACAGTGGCAGGGCGGCAAGCGGTTTTTAAACAAGCCTGTGAAATAGAAGAAGATAGTCTACTCATATGAGACCAAAAATTTAACTCTTTGGAAGTCCATAATATACTCACCATGTTTTGGCGGTGGGAACATCATGGTGTGGGGCTGTTTTTCAGCAAACTTCATCTCATTGAAGGAAGGATGAATGGCAAATGTACTAAGACATTCTTGATAAAAAGCTGCTGCCATCTACCAGGATGATGAAGATGAAACAAGGGTGGATATTTCAGCAAGACAATGATCCCATATACAAAGCCAAAGAAACTCAATTGGTTTCAAAGATAAAAATAAAGCTGCTAGAATGGCCCAGCTAATCACCTGACTTGAATCCAATAGAAAAATCTCTGGAAAGAACTAAAGATCAGAGTTCATAGAAGAGGCCCACGGAACCTTCAAGATTTGAAGACTGTTTGTGTGGAAGAATGGGCCAAAATCACACCTGAGCAATGCATGCATCTAGCTTCTCCACAGGAGGCATCTTGACGCTGTCATTACCAACAAAGGATTTTGTACAAAGTATTAAATACATTTCAGTTAGTGTGTTCAATACTTTTTCCCCGTGTCATTCCAATTTATCACACAAAGCTTAATTGCTGAACTTATTTGTTTTGGTTTCTTCCTATGTATGGATGACATGGGTTGTTACGGATGTGTGGTGGAAACTTCATATCAATAGTACCTTTAGAAATATATTTACTGAGGAATATGGTGACGCGTTCAGTACTTATTTCACCCGCTGTATATACTTGTGAAAGTCAGCATCCTGTAATCCTTGCAAGGCGCTCTGCAGATCTCACTGTATCCAAGGTACCAGGAATGATAGTGGAACCGTGCATGCACAAGTGATATCACAACAGGTGAGGTCTATGCAGGATTTGTTAGAAAAACATACCATCACCATTAGAGCTCTCCAACAAGGCAACCAGATTTTCTGAAATTTCCCAGGCCAGTTTCTGCTCAAGTATATTCATTTCATATAAAGAGTGAGACAAATGTAAAATCCAATCCTTTTGGGTTGGTGCATGTGACAATTTCAACTTTAAAGCGCAGATATAAAACCTTCAACCTACCCTGCTCCCACTCATTCACTGATAACAAAAACAAATAAAACAAGACTTTTAGTCTGTCACCATGTGACCCGACATGGTAACTTCTAGGAATGAAGACTTGTGGTCCCACTGCTTCATTCTAGGCCACTGCTACCCCTCCCTGAGATGTTATATCACACGTCCTTGTGGACCCGTTGCTAGACAGTCAATGGGAAATGGTTATACCACCCTAGCACTGATGTGGGCATCTGAGGAAGGGCCCCATACTCTACTGAATCTTCTGTCATGTAGTGCACTGGGTTCCAAGTCTTCTTTCTTCTGGACTGTAAAGTAAAAGAGGTTTTTATATTTTTTTTAATTAAACCTAGCAATTTGTCGGAAAGGTGGTGTGGGTTAAAAGGGTAGTGAGAGGGCTGTTCCCAAACATGAGCTTTATCAGAATGTCACAAAATGTGCCCTGGATTGAGGAGTCCCTAGAGCAGTGGTCTCCAAACTGTGGCCCTGTGGCTGAATATAGCCCTTTGCTTGATTTTATCTGTCCCTTGGGCCATTATTCCCCCCATTGTCAGCAAAGGTGGGGCATAGTTCCTGCCACTCACACCAACAATGGGGCACTATTCCTTCCACTGACACCAACGATGGGGCACTATTCCTCCCACTAGTACCAATGATGGGGCACTATTCCTCCCACTGATACCAATGATGGGGCACTAATGCTCCCACTGATACCAACGATGGGGCACTATTCCTCCCACTAATACCAATGATGGGGCACTATTCCTCCCACTGATACCAATGATGGGGCACTATTCCACCCACTGATACCAATGATGGGGCACTATTCCTCCCACTGATACCAATGATGGGGCACTATTCCTCCCATTGATACCAATTATGGGGCACTATTCCTCCCACTGATACCAATGATGGGCACTATTCCTCCCACTCACACCAACGATGGGGCACTATTCCTCCCACTGATACCAGTGATGGGGCACTATTCCCTCCCACTCACACCCAACGATGGGGCACTATTCATGCCACTGATACCAATGATGGGCGCGCTATGCCTTCCACTGATACCAATGATGGGGCACTATTCCTCCCACTGATACCAATGATGGGGCACTATTCCTCCCACTAACACCAGTGATGGGGCACTGTTTCTCCCACTAACACCAGTGATGGGGCACTATTCCTCCCACTAACACCAATAACAAGACACTATTCCTCCCACTTACACCAATGATGGGGCACTATTCCTCCCACTGACACCAATGATGGGGCACTATTCCACCACTGATACCAATGATGGGGCACTATTCCTTCCACTGATACTAATGATGGGGCACTATTCCACCCACTGATACCAATGATGGGGCACTATTCCTCCCACTGATACCAATGATGGGACACTATTCCTCCCACTGATACCAATGATGGGACACTATTCCTCCCACTGATACTAATGATGGGGCACTATTCCACCCACTGATACCAATGATGGAACACTATTCCTCCCACTGATACAATGATGGGGCACTATTCCTCCCACTGATACCAATGATGGGACACTATTCCTCCCACTGATACCAATGATGGGGCACTATTCCTCCCACTAACACCAGTGATGGGGCACTGTTTCTCCCACTGACACCAAAGATGGGGCACTATTCCTCCCACTAACACCAATAACAAGACACTATTCCTCCCACTTACACCAATGATGGGACACTATTCCTCCCACTGATACCAATGATGGGACACTATTCCTCCCACTGATACTAATGATGGGGCACTATTCCACCCACTGATACCAATGATGGAACACTATTCCTCCCACTGATACCAATGATGGGGCACTATTCCTCCCACTGATACCAATGATGGGACACTATTCCTCCCACTGATACCAATGATGGGGCACTATTCCTCCCACTAACACCAGTGATGGGGCACTGTTTCTCCCACTGACACCAAAGATGGGGCACTATTCCTCCCACTAACACCAATAACAAGACACTATTCCTCCCACTTACACCAATGATGGGGCACTATTCCTCCCACTGACACCAATGATGGGGCACTATTCCACCCACTGATACCAATGATGGGGCACTACTCCTCCCACTGATACTAATGATGGGGCACTATTCCTCCCACTGATACCAATGATGGGACACTATTCCTCCCACTGATACCAATGATGGGGCACTATTCCTCCCACTGATACTAATGATGGGGCACTATTCCACCCACTGATACCAATGATGGGACACTATTCCTCCTACTGATACTAATGATGGGGCACTATTCCTCCCACTGATACCAATGATGGGACACTATTCCTCCCACTGATACCAATGATGGGGCACTATTCCTCCCACTGATACCAATGATGGGGCACTATTCCTCCCACTGATACCAATGATGGGGCACTATTCCTCCCACTGATACTAATGATGGGGCACTATTCCTCCCAGTAACACCAATGATAAGACACTATTCCTCCCACTGACACCAAAGATGGGACACTGTTAACTCCCACTGACACAAAGACATTCTCTACTCCTGTTGACCGTAGTCCAGCCCTCCTAAAGTTTGAAGGACAGTATACTGGCTCTTCATTTACCCTCGGTTCACACCTAAGCGTTTTCTGCAGCGTTTTGCAGAAACGCAGTACAGTCCATTTAACATGATTTCCTATGGGTCAGGTTCACATCTCCGTGTTTCTCACCCAGCATGTTTTTGGGAAAGGGTCAGGGACTTTTTGTGTTTTTGGTTCTATAGATTTCAATGGGAACGGTGCAGAAAAGCATGTGTTGTGTTGTTGCTGCATTTTTGCCGCTTTTTTTATGTTTTGTGGTTAAAATCTGCCTAGCAACAAGAAAAATAAAAAAAAAGAAAATGCAAAACGCATAAAAAACACACATGCAGAAACACACTCAAAATCAACCTGCATAGGTGTGAACCTAGACTTAAAAAGTTTGGAGACCCCTGCCCTAGAGCATTGTTTCAGGGCTGAAGTACACACCTTCTAAGAACAAGGCAGCTTGCATGTTATGCTGTTCACAGGTTTATTTTAAAATTTATTATTTTCATTTAAAAAAAAACTAGTCTTTAACATCACCACCTGTTGTACTACAATGTTTGCACAGAGTAACCCTAAACCTCCTCTTCTAGTGCTTCAGACGCCTCCTCTTTTCTGTGTGCCCCCATAGCAAGCTGCTTGCTATGGGGGCACACCTGTGGGCTCTCTCCTGAGCTGTGCTGTGTGTATCCATCAACGCACAATGCAGTGTGGCTGGGCCCCTCCCCCCCGCTGTCTGCTCACTGGATGCTTGGCCCAAACAAACTAGTTAAAGTGACAGTAAGTATGGAGATCAGCTTTAACCATTTGCAGCCTGGCCTATAGCCGTTTGGCGGCCGCAAAAATGCATTTCCTTTCCGGGGTGTACGCCATTTGGTGTCCTCCCACACATGCGCAGTTCGCGTGGTTGCAGAGCCGCGCAGCGGCGTGATCTGTCACCCGGCCTTATACCTCGGACACGGCCGATGACAGATCTGAGTACCGGCTCCTGTTGCCGGTACCATGTGACCTGTTGTGACCAATTACATGACAGTTGTATACAATAGATGGCTTCATTCATGCCATCCATTGTATACTAGTGTCTAGCTGTGAATGGTCACAGCAGGTCACATGCACATGTCATGTGATTAGC